GCAGATGATAAAATGGTGACAAAAATCTGTAAAAAACACATGAAAAATGTAACAGAACCGCACAGAGCAGTAAAATAAACATTTTAATTCAAGTAAACTATTTTAATGTTGACCGCTTTGGGTGCTGCCTTTTATTTCTAATATAAAGACTGCATGTTAGAAATCTGAAACCTTAGACTGGATACATTTAAATATTAAAGGTTACTGTGCCTTTGAAAAAAAAGGAGACATGGAAATTGCTTTAGTATGTTAGTAGATCAAAGGTAAACTGCTTTTATTTATTATCAATGATATTTAAAGATATTCTTACCTTTTTCACGTTCTGTTTTCAATAAATGTGTAAGAATGCAGCCGTGGAGGTTGTAACTTTTCAGCTGAACAGTTCCTCCTCCTCAAGTTGAAGCTGAACTACAGAGAAGGAACTTTTATACCTCTGCGCCACACATAGCATTATACAGAAACAACCAATGATGATACAGAAAAATAACCAAGCCCTTTACTTGTGCAATCAAAAAAAGAGAAGCTTAAATCTGTGTTGACTAACCATGGATGTTATCGAATGACAAAAGGTGACCATGTATATTAAATTGCATAGGAGGAGTTTTAATTTATATAACATTTGCTACATCTGGCATTTTTTCTGCAATTAATTGTTTAATTGCAGGTTTGAATTTGCCGTATGTGTTCCCCCCTCTCTCTCTTGCTGCTTTCCTGTCACTATAAAAGGACAAAAAATAATGCTCATTTAAAAATTCAATGTGCAATTTATTAAGGATTTTCAGGGTGAGAAAATCCTGCGTGCTTGTGTCCACAGATCCTTTAGAAAGTATAACCCTATATTAAATTGAAATTTAATGAATTGTGTATCTTGTGTATTGCTTGCCTTTATCTTGGTCCTGTGTAAAAAATGTGGAAATTGTTTTACACTGTTTAATAGGAGCACAGAGAATTTTTCACTTTTGCCTTCTTGCTGAGTAGCCATGCAAGTAGGCCAGGAGGGTGACCGAGAAAGTTAATTGTGTTTCCAGAATCTCTGTTTGAATTTACACGTAACTTATTTGTCAGACTTCGGTCTTTTTTTTTCTTTACATAATGGAGCACTTTTATTCCTTGACAGTTAGAAGACTGTAATGAAACAATCAAACAGTCATCTCAAATGCATGTGTAAGTTAGGTTGAGAAATGGTAATAATTTGATGTTAAGCTGTATCATTTGGAACATGAATACTTCATGAATACTTCAAAGAGTGAGGTGTGCTG